ATCTTTTTTTTTTTTTTTGAAACAGTCTCACTCTGTTTCCCAGACTGAAGTACAGTGGAGTAATCTCGGCCCACCACAACTTTCACCACCTGGGTTCAAGCAATTCTCCTTCCTCAGCCTCCTGAGTAGCTGGGACTACAGGTGCATGCCACCACACCTGGCTAATTTTTGTATTTTTAGTAGAGATGGGGTTTCTCCATGTTGGCCAGGCTGGTCTTGAACTCCTGACCTCAAGTGACCTGCCCACCTTGGCTTCCCAAAGTGCTGGGATTACAGATGTGAGCCACTGCACCCAGCCCAATTATGACCTTCTTTAATCTGCAATCTCCACACAGACACCACCAACCCACATATGTGAATACATGTTAGATTCTCACCAGTTAAATACATTTCAAATTCCAATCTAAGAAGTCATATAAACACATTTTTCACATACACACAACCACCCCCACAAATCTCATACCCCTCAAAATCCAAAACAAACCTTTCTTACATTCTCAAGTACACACACTCCAACTGCCCAAGAAGACACACACGTGTGTGCCATAAATTTTAGATATAATACATGTGTAGCCTACAATTTACCAATAATAATATACACTATTTTTTATTATAAATTACACATAGGTAAGTGATTCTTATAGAAGTTTTTCTTGACTTTGGCCAGAGTCTTGCATCAACCAACTTGTGCTACCAAGTGAACGGACTATGGCTAAAGGCCTGTTCTTCCACTTTGCAGCTGCTCGTATCATAGGCAAATGAGCATATTGGAACATGCATGCCAGGTGATCATTCTGATTAAGTCAACAAGCTTCACAACTCACTCAATGAAGATGACCATGAGAACATCACTGATTTTACCAGGACAAGAGCTACTTTTTTGCTGAACTGCATCACAGTTTCAACTGCTGGGGTTTTCCTTAAGCTCTTGCATTGTTCAAAATGTGAGAGGCACAGACTGGTGACCAGCAGGAGCATGACCAGGAGGCAATTACGGTACCTTCTAATCACACATAGCTTTATTTTTAGGTAACACCACAGATGATGCCACGAGAGCAAAGGCCATTGGGTAACCACCATTTCGGCTCACGCTGCGCATCTCCCTGCCCCAACCACTGGCTACGGATGCTGGGAGCCATTGAGGGCGCCGGCCGCGTGTTGGAACCACACCCGCCTCCAGGCTCGTGTGCAGGTCAGGGCAGGCCTGGAACCCACCATGGGAGGGCCCCGCAGGACCTGCACAAATGGAGGGACGTGGCACCTGGGAGCTTCCTGGGGCCAGGTGGCACCTCCTCATTGGAACCTCCATGACTGTCCCTCTAAGAAACCAGTGCATCAGAAATGACCACTCCTAATTTTTGGTAATACAAACTTGCAGTCCATACACATAGCTAACAGCCTCGCTGAAAGGTTTACCTTTGGAGGGTTTATCCTAAATCAAAGTTTCCTCAGATTTCATAAGTCTTGCATTCCCTTTGGATTGCATTTATTTCATTCCTGCTCATGCCTTTCAATATAATAGCATGCCCTGTTTTCCCACTCAGTCTGGGGCTCCATTAAAGAATATTTCTGGCAAAGAATTTTAGACCTGAAAAAACACTCCAAAAGATACTTTCTTCTGACTCCACTCCCAGAGTTTTTCCTACTGCATTCAAATGATTTCTAGAAATGTTTTTGTTATAGCTTTGATCAATTTCAGTAGACAAAGCAGCAGATAGTAAGGGAATAATTCCACGCTCCCCTACACCCCACTCTGCAACACAGTGCAGAATTTCAGTTGACAATAAAAAACTAGTAGAGAAGCAACTCACTGACTTGAATTTCTAACAGCTTCAGAAGAAACTTTAATCGTCAGATCCTTTCTGCTCATTTGCAGGTTCCTATAGTTCATGGCTCCTCCTGATAAAAGTGAAGAGTCTTCACGTCTGCGTTGGCCCAGAGCCTCAAGTGCAGAAACTGAGAGCTCTATAGGACACAGCATGGACCCGCCATTCCTCTACCTACCTTCTGTTATTGAGTGGAAGAGCATCTGTCTTCTGAAATGAGATCCATGCTCTGAGATTTTCTTTCTCAGCAGTCAGTGCAGCCCAGGACTTCCTGCGGTCATGCTCAGAGAGCAGGGGCCAGAGGACTTTTAGCCGCCACCTCCCATGGCCAGTCTTCACAAATTACCTTTGGCTAATTTGATTGTCTCTCCTCCTGGGATCTAGGACTTCAAACACATACACAGGTGATTGCAGAATTCAGACAAGATACTGTTCCACAGTATACTTTTTGTAACAATGGCTCAGAAAAAGACTCATTCAAATCCAGTATCAAAGCTGCGTGTGAGAATCTTGAGAAAGCATCGGCTGATTAACAACCAAGAATTCTGCCCTTCTTCAGTGCCTGAGAAGGAGATTTTTCCATCAATATCCCTCTGAGATGAAGTTATTGATTGAAAATCATTTAAGGTTGCCCTGTGATAAAAGAGCAAGTCCTCGGAATGGTCTCCAAAGTGTTTATGTTGTTTTTGTTTTGTTTTGGTAAGTTTACCATGGTTTTGCTTGAATTGCTCTCCATTGATCTCAGCTAAGACCGAGGTGAGCTGCACGGCTGAAGAGGGCTGCATGTAAGAAGGCAGCTCTGTCTCAGAGGACAAAAGGCCTGGGGGCACCCAGACAGGCAGGCACTGCGTGGAGGTTGCTCCCCTCCCAGTGGCCACTGTGGAGGCATTTCATAGAAATGCTCAAGGACCATTCAGGTTTAGAGTGGGGGCCAAACCGAGAACCCATGAGGGACATTGGACAGGAGTTAGGAGATGAGTTTCTCACATAACTGGAGCAAGGAGGGGAGAAACCTGGGCTTGGGACCTACAATCCGCCACCTTCCCTGCAGTGTGGCCCCTGTTATGTTTTCTTGCAACTCTGCCTGCATGAGTCCAGTTGTCTTCGGAAGGGACAAGTGCTTCATAAGTGCTAACAGGGAGCGCTTCAGGAAATGATCACAGTGTGCACCCCTCCATCTGAAAGCTTCTTCCCTTCCCCAACCCCCTCCAATCAGTGCAAAATTACTGCGGCCCAGCAGGGAGTGACGTGTGTGTCTCAGATTTTGTTGCTGTGCTCTCAGTACGCACTCCTCATCTCCTCCGACCAGTTTCCTAACACTCCTCCTGTTCACAGCACAGAACATGAGTGCTCTTTCCTGCCATTTGGATGCTGATAAATGGTCAGTGATTCTCAGTGTGAAAATGAAAATGAAGCAAGTTTTTTTTTAAAGACAGGCTACAATAATTCCCATGCTGAGAACCACATGCAATGACACTGAATTCCAAAGAGCAAGGCTGTATGGTGAAGACGAGGCCAGCAGTGAGCTGAGAGAGGCCAGCCAGGATTCCAGCATGCGCGGGGGTGCATGGGAATGGGTGTGGGACATTAGTGGAGAGCATCCTGGCGTGTCTCAGAATGGACATGGGTAGTGGATTCCTAACTCCTGGAGAAACCAGAGCTCTAGGAATTGTAGGCCACTTTATGTTAGGAAAGAAAAAGATGGTGTTCTGTCCTCCTGTCCCTTACACCTGGGCCTACTGCCACTAAACCTAGAAGCTGAGAAGGGTATAATGGCGACTCCAGACTTCACTGCGTCAAATCAGCCTGCTATTTTTTCTACAATGGTTGTGTTTAGTGGTGTAGCCAAGATTCACACTTGAGTCTCAGTCTCCTTACTGTAAGTTCTCACACTCACAGTGGAGACTTAACAATAATCACTTAATATGTTACAGTTTTTTGGGAAGAGTTACCAGATAAAGTTCAAGATCCCAGCGAGTTGTGAATAACACAGATAAAGGACAAACAGCTTTGTTGTAAAAGTATACTCTAAATATCATATGGATCACAAGTACAATAAAAACTAGTTTACTGTTTACCTTGAATTCAAATTCCACTTGGTATTCCTTATTCAAACTTGCTAAATCCTGCTACTCTTCTTCCATGCATTTTTAATTTTGCAGAAATGTTACAATGCCTCATTCTAGCTATTTACCTGAGGAAATAAAGACAGGAACCACATTACTGAGACAAACGTTGTCGCTGCAAATATCAGAAAGCTGAAACGTATTAATATATTAATTTGTACCCAAAAAAACCTGAAAGCATTTTCAGATAGCAAAAATAGCTTCATTATGCTTTTGTTTGCATAATATATCTCTGGAAAGATGAAAAAGAATCAGAACACCCATTTGCTCCAAGAATGAAACTGTTGTGTACAGGGAAAGAGGTGGGAGGAAGACGGGTCACTGTCTATTCCACTGTGCACAATTTGAATTTAGAATCATGCAAAAGTGTTGACTGGTTAAACTAAAATCATTTGACAGATTAAAAAATAAACATTTAATACCAGCACAATACGCTGGGAAACAAAATGAAAGGCTTTCTGGCCGCAAAGACTGCTCTTTCCTGGACTGAGGCTTTCCAGCAAAGGAGATGGGCCTGGCCTGCTGGTGTGGACAGATTCCAGCAACATACACAATGTGGGGGCTCAAGGACGGCTTCCATAACAATGATGAGCACACAGCCACCTAATAGCCTGGATCCTCTGAACCACGCACAGGATAGAGACATGGATCATCTGACAAACACAGGGGTTCTTAGGAAGTGTCCTAAATTGTGTTTAGGAAGTGCAGCCCCTGTTGAGATTCACCAAGAGTGGGAAACAGCCCAAATGGGAAGGAGCATGGGTTGAGGGGCACAAAAGTAGGTCTGTTGACAAAGAATGGAAGTAAAGGGGACATCAGTTTGAAGCTTTGTGCTGTGAGTCAGAAGGACAATTTAAAAATTGCCTGAAGAGGCGCACGCCGTCTGTGCTGCTGCCGTCCAGCTGGAAATGAACCTCAGTTCTTGCCTATTGGCTGGAGCCCTTCACAGAATGTCCCCCACCCCTACCAGTACCTGCTACACTGCCCCTCCCCCTCTGCAGAATGTCTGGGGTCCTATGTTCTAAACCTATTTATTTTCAAATTTTCCCTGATCTACCTGAACTCAGGAGAATCTGTTGAGGCAGTTCACTCTCTGGGTCCTGCCCTTGACTTTTCTCATTGTGGAAATTGTCAGACAGCGGTGATCAGCACCCAGCCTGAGGGGATGGCTTCAAATGGAGGTGAGTCTGTAGGGACAGGGGCATTATCCAAGTCTCTGACATGTTTCAAATCCTTGGGAATTCAAATTTGACACTGTCCTGGGAACAGTTGATAGCGCTGATGTTGAGGGAGGGAGGGAGCACTGGATGTCCCCAAAGACATCACACCTGGGGAGGGCCATGGCACCCTGAGTCTGTGGTTAGGGAGGACAGCTCCTTAGAGGTGGACCAAGATGCCTGGGGGAATACACC